CTTATATTGTATATATGTAGCCAGTAGCGTCGGATAGATATACGAAAACTTGTTGTTTGACCAATCTCTCGGAGAAGGAGAGGCCGATACCACTTCTCTCTGTACGCATATGTTCATGACGATCTTCTGTACTTAATGGTTTCCTTCATTTGCTTACTAACTAGCGTGTCGAGTCCTCTCTATACGTATAGTACATAGAGTCGATCAAGCACGGAGATAAGAGAGGACACTTCTCTCTATTTATCCTACAACCCCCCCCCCCCCAGAAAAAAACAAAAACCCTAGCCCCTGAACTGCTGAGGCGTGGTAGCTTATTGGTCTTGGTTGGTGCTACCAACCGGGACAAAAGGCCCCCTTGCCAGGGCAAGCCGCAGCGGACACGTGGAGCCCCATCTGTCCCGGTTGGTATAAGAATCGGGACTAAAGGTATAGGGCTTTAGTACCGACCCTTTAGTCCCGGTTCCTGAACCGGGACAAATGGGCCTTATGAACCGGGACAAATGACCATTTTCTACTAGTGCACGGTGCACAATCTAAGATGACTTACTCACCTTGACGAGGGAGTATATAGAATCCGCCATGCACCAGGGTCCATTGGTTGGTAATAAATGTCATTAAACAACATATTAAATATTGGTTTGGTTTTTCTCATTACATGGTGTAACGGCTATGCTTAATGTGTCATAAGGAGGTACTAGTAATGCTTGGAGTAATGGCGTAGTGAAGCTCAGTGTGTAACTCCTCTTTGAATTCTCCTGGTCGTTGGCCTACTATGAACTTCGATTGGTTACATTCCTACTGATAAAACTCCTGACTGATGGGCAAACCAACTGATGAAGATCCCCCTCCTATTCAGCGCGCTCAGCGCCACTGAACCAAACTGGCGCTCGCTGCGGCACCTTAGTGGGCCAGCCCACGAACACGCGACAGCAGCTAAAAAAAACCTAAAACAATTAGTGGAGCCGAGGAATCGAACTAGCGTCGCTGCGCTGCTTTATACACTTCGCTAACCAGTAGAGCAACATCACAACACTGATGAATATTACGGCGAAGTATTTAAGGACAGTTGCAGCCGCGCTTTTCCAAAATTTACAAGTTCACAGATTAAAAAAAGGTTCACGAATTTGTTTCAAAAAGAAAAGGTTCACTTATTCAAAAAAGCAACGAAAATTGAAAAAAGTTCACTAGTTCGAGAAGAAAGTTCATAAATTTTAAAAAGTTCACAAAGTTTGGAAAAGTTCAGTAATTCCAGAAAATTTAACGAATTAAAAAAAGTTCACGAGTTTGAAAAAAGTTCATGGGAATTTTGAAAAAGTTCATGAAATACAAGATAGTTCAAGAAAATTCAAAAAATATCATTGATTTTCAAAAAGAGTTCATACATTTGAAAAAAGTTCATCGGTTTTTAAAAAAAGTTCATCAATTTTCATGAAAGTTCACGAGTTTTGAAAAAAAAGTTCATTGATTTTGATAATAGTTCATTGATCTTAATAGTAGTTTATCAACGTAGAAAAAAGTTCGTTGAATTTGGAAAAAATAGTTCATTGATTTAAATAGAAGTTCATCGAATTCGAAAAAGGTTCACAAATTGAAAAATAGTTCATAGATTTTACCAAAAGAATAACGAAAATGACAAAAGTTCGCGCATTTATCATTTACCAAAAAATGTAAGAATAGATAAAGAAAAAATAAGAAATGTAAAAAGAAAAAACCAAACAAAATCGTTCAAAAAAAAGAAGTAAATTAACTTAAAAGAAGGTAACTAGTCATGTCCTAAAGAAGTGCCTCGGTGGTTATGGCGGCGTTCTCGCAACCTGATGGTCGCCGGTTTGAATCCTGCCTAGTTCACTGTTTTTTTTTACGATTTATCAAAATGAGAACACAATTAAATGGGCCGGCCCTGGTCGCGGTACAATAATGCTACATTCACAAGCGTTTACGGGCATTTTACAGGGCTGGCGGGCGCACCCACCAATTAAAATCAGGGGGGCATGATTAATGAGTAGGAGTTAGTTTTTTAGGCCAATAAAAACTGAACAAGTCAGCTGGCCCGTGAACTCCGTATCAGGCAGCCCGTGAATCTAGCATTATTGATTGGTCGCGGTAGGTGGTGTGCGCTGTAGGCGCTCATTAACGAAAATGCACGTTAACCGGCGCCAAATAGGATTTGCCGCCACGACCTACTGCTGGTGTTTATCTAGTGGTTTGCATTCATGGGCTTGGGCCTGCGTGGACGTCTTAGTAGGGCCTTATGTCAACGTGGGCCTACCCCCTATGAGGAATTCCCTCGTCATCACCTTTACCATTCGTTTCTTGAAAAGAAAAGAAAAACCTTTGCCACTCACGACAACCATGGGCGTTATTTCCACTCCGAAGGCAATTTCATAAGGAACCAGTTGAGAACCGAGTGTAGCTCAGTTGGCAAGGCGCGGGAGTTCGCAGCCAGAGGGTTCAAGTCTCGGCTTGAGCATTTGGTGCTCACGGAGTTTTCTTCTATAAAAAAATACCAACAGGCTAGTCTAGCCCGGATTGGTCTCCTTTTTTATAAGGAACCAGTAAAATGCATCGTGCGTTGCCAAAGAACAAAAAGCTCAGATGTATGATCAAATATCAATGTAATTCACAGTATCTGAACACTATATAGTCTTAATCACATTTAGTTTTAGAACATTATGCGACACATCACAATCTGCTGAAGAGACAAAATTTATGTGACACTTAGCATTGACAATACGAGTTGAACCGGAAATGGGTCAAATTTCTTAAAAGATTTGCATACACGGGAGAGCTGATTACTAACATAAGCCGGCAGCCTTTGGAGAGCTGATTACTAACGCATTAGATTGGATACTAATCTAGTATGATCAGATACCGAAAGCAGCTCTCAAGCAGCCCAGAGATGATGCCGCCGAGGAAGGCCACGGTGGCCAACCAAACTGCCAAGGCCCCGATGCCTTTCAGACCAATTGGGATCAAACCCACGACGACCAAAAAGTTAATAATCCTTATTACTCCCTCCGCTCGGAAATACTTGTCGAAAAAATGGATACAAATGGATGTGTCTAGAACTAAAATATATCTAGATACATTCATTCGCGAGACAAGTATTTTCGGACGGAGGGAGTACTTCTAGCCGCTCCGAGAAAGCTCCAAGCTCACCTCTCAAGCCCCGGAACTTGATCCCGACCGGCACGTGCGCGGTGACCCTGAGCGGCACGAACCCGGCCTGCCGCAGCCGCTGAGTCAGCTGCTCGTCCACGGCGCCGTCGAGCCTGGTCTCCCCCTTGAGCGTGATCAGTGGCCGCACCGTGCTGCGGTGGCCCTGGCACAGCTCGGGGAACGCGCCGCGGCGCAGCTCTGTGCCGTTGAACGAGACGGCCACCCAGCCGCCGCCGTAGGACAGCCCGATGCGCCGGTTCGGGTTCTCCACTATCATATGCACCTCCAACGCGTACCTCACCGTCATGGAGGTGGTATTCACGTCGAACCGGGTGGCCGTCAGCCGCTCCACGCGGAACGTGCGGGTCTTGGGCCAGAATGCGGCGCACAGGATCCCCACCATGGTGCCCAGCGTGATCCCATCAGCAGCGCGCACCGGCTGTGCTGCTTGTCCTGGACCTGCTTTATCCCCTACTTCGGTGAAGGAGACTAACAACATTACTTCTCCAAAACATTCTCTATCACCGACTCTAGTGGAGAAGACCAAAAAGATCAACTAAATGGACACTGAGTTTCTAATCCGGAGCTCTTATGCTCCCTAATAAACAGTAAAATTAAAAAAAATAGTAGTAAAAAAATCAGAAAATTCTATTTTTTTTTTGTGATAAACATTGATGAAAAGGTCCACCTGCGTGCAAAATTTGATGATGAAATGATATTCGTGGAGGTATGGGCAACAAGAAGGTAATCGATGCTCCGAAAAGACTAGTTTTCAAAGCATTTGGAAGCATCGATTTTTTTCACAGACCTTCATAAATATCATTTCAATAACGAAACTTCGAAGGCAGGTAAAACATTTATCAATGTTTATCACAAAAATCGAGTATTATTTGATTTTTACCTTTTGTTATTTGCTCGGAAAAAAAGCTTCCCGTAAAGGGTCGTTGTTTTTAAGAGATAGGAGCCGGCGCTCTCTCCCTCGCTCTCGAGTTTGTCATCTTCGTCGCTCGCATGGCGGCGGTCGCGTGTCTCCCCTCCTTCGCACCGGCGGCCACAGGAATCAGGCTCTGCAGGGACGCGCGCTCACCACGATGAGGTACGAATCCTCCCCTCCCCTCCCCTTGATTATAGTTCCGGTATGGCCGCCGGCGAGCGGACACGAAAGGCGATCGGGATGACGTGTCGCCGATCGCTTGATATTTCGGGGCAGAGGAGAGCAACAGGTTATTCGCGGCTGCTTGATTCAAGCGGAGGGGCGACGGGGAGGACAGGGGGACGCGGGCTAGTTCGCGGGTGCTCGTTCTGACCGAAGGCTGGGCAGGCGCGGCGCTGGTTACTCTGATTCGAGCGGCGCTGTAGCCGCGCGTGGCCGCCGTGGGTATCCCCGGTTTTTCTGTCCATGCCTTTAGCATAGCTAGCTCACGTCGCAAATCCAAGACAATTAAATGTAGATACGACCTTCAGTGCCACAATTTTTAGTACAACTCAGGAAACTGAAAGGTGGAACACAATAATATGATGAGTGGATAGCAGACCCTCATGTCTCAAATATAGGGAAAATCATATATTTCTTCGTACACACCACGAGTCTACGATACACATTTACATATCATACAACACCGTTAGGTCTTGTGATTGTGCAGAAGATGTACCCACGTGTTCAACGCACAGACGATTTCAGTTTTCCTTAGGTAATGGAACAATTATGCTCCGACCTCTGCACCTGACGGTGCACAGAATCTATTATTTACAAAGCCCCACAAGTTTGAAAAAAAAAAGCAGCAAGCACCAATACACGTTCCAATATTTTTACCATACTAAGATGCTTTGCAATGCAACAATCATGGTACTGGTGCACTGGCAGGGGCAATGTTGATTCCCAGATCCTCTTTCCTCTGTGCCAAAAGATCTTCTGCTTTTTTAGCAAGAACAGGGGAGAGAGGCTTCAGAGGAACCCCGTGGCAGTCACGATCGATGCCAGCGAAAAGCATGGTGCTCTCAAGCCCGGCCATCGTCTCTGAAGCCTTCAATAGTGTGCCAACGATATTGTGCCTGTCAATCACGTCGACATTTGGATTGTGCTGGAGGAATTCCATAACCATCTTGCAGGTGAGCTTCTGTATAGCCAAGCACGCAGGGGTGGCATACATGTTGTCTTCCACCATCTTCTTGAGCCTCACCACAAAGTCTTCCAGGGCAGCAGGCAGCGTCTGGGACATTAAGATTTCTCCAAAATCAAGATTGCTGTTTGCACAAATCGTTGTGATGACTGATAACAGCTCTGCTTGCAGCCTCCCCTCTCCACATTGCTGGATGTAGAGGCGCTGTAAAGTGAAAGGCTTGTCTTCCGCACTGTCACTTGGGTTTTCGATGTCGTTTCTGCATGCTTTAATGCAAGAAATGGAGTGCTCCCGGCACCTGGGTGTGCTTGGACTAATCGCTTCTGCTTGTACATGAAGCAATTCCGCAAGTACCTGAAGTGATATACGCACATACTAGTTTAGCTCAAAAAGGTTAATTGCCGAAAACCAGTGGCCAATAGTGGGTGCTATAAGCCTATAAGGAATACGATTACTTTCATTAATTAGAGAAAAACAACAAGAGTATGCCGTATATCCGTTCAGGCATACCCTTGCAGTGGGTGCTATAAGGAATTTGATTACTTTATAAGTTAGAGATTAGAGAAAAGGAACACCAATATGTCCTATATATATTCAGGCATACCTTCCGTAAGGTTGGTTCCTGGACATAGTTGCTCAAATGCTTTAAGATGACTGCTGCACTAATACGACAGCCAATGTTGATCTCTATTTGCATGAGCATTTTACTAAGTCGATGGAAATTGTCATCTTTGCATCCAGTGAAGCTCTTGATAGTCTCTGAATCACTGGACAGCATGGCCAATGCCTCGCCAGCCTTTTCTTTAAGCCGATTTGCAGTTTCCTTTGCTCTTTTAGTTTGATGCTCGATCTTTATTTTCTCACATGTCAAACAATCTTTCATGCAATCTTCACTAAGGAAGATGTGTAGTGCCCTCTCTATAAGTTTTTCTGCAGAAGTACTTGCTGGATGATGCAAGGCTAATTGTGTAAGAACCTCTATAACTCGCATCTGTAGTTCTACGATACTGTTATTACTTTTCATATCCATATCCAGAACGGCCTCCAAGTTCTGGACTAAATTTCTATCATTTACAATTATGCTGCACATCTCTTCGCCGGTGCATCCTGGAGAACTCATGAGCCGGCTCACCACTTCCAGGGATCCGTCTATTACCTTGGTCCATGCAGCATTGCTCTTGATATCTTGTACAAATTCGTTGGAGCTGACAGGCGCAAGTAATTTTGAAAGAAGATCCTTGGTGTTGTATATCAGTGTGCAATTATGTCTGTCGTGAGCCAGGTTCTCTAGAATTCTCAAGCCTGTCAAAACCAGTTCCTCACAATTCACCCTCTGCTTGATATCTTGCTGTAGGGTACCACCACTCTGCAGAATATTTTCTACTGAGGAGCTGATCATGCCCCCAACCTCCGGGTTACCATCTCTATCATTCTTCTTGTTACCAGCCTTAATTTGGTTTAGCAAAGCTGTCCTTTTCCTCTGCTTGATGTGGGCGCTCGCAAATGTCAAATGGAGGGCTTCCTGATCAGCATTGTTATGACAGGAAGTGTCAAATAGGGTGGATATGCATTCCAAGGCTCCTGGAAAGTGAGCAAGGTTGAGGTGACCAGCCAGCTGCTCCACAATCCTTGCTGCAAGCAATCTCATCTCTTGCTCGGCTGGACTTCTCCAAGCAAGGGTTAAGATCAGCTTCTGAATTCTTTGTTTCGGTGAACTAATCAGCAGCCGTGTTACTGGTACTGGTGTATCTTGATCAATCAACATAGTTAGTACCCTTCCTCCAGAAACATTATCCTCCAGTAATTGGGAATCCAGCAAATCGGCACCATATGTGATCAAATTCCAGTTGGCTGTGGACGCGGCAGGCTTGTTAAGACACAGCTCCTTGGTTTTTTCCAAATACGCATTAAGTACTTCGCAGCTGAGACCATGTAGTCGTGCAACATAATCCACCAACTTTTCTTCAAAGAATAATACACCTAGCATATAGAAAAAGGATATTGCGCTCTGGGAAAGAGATACACCATAGAATAAGTTCAGCGCCGGCTTCAGATTTGCTTTACTTGCATCTCCGTCGGCAATGCCATAGTCTTGCTTTACTAGACGAAGCGCCGGCAGCGTGATACACAAAATTGGTCCAAAACCACTGGGGCAAATATGATGACCAGAGTGATATATATTGTTTTTAGGCAGAGTATATGTATTAGTCTCTTTGCCGATTGCAACTGAGTAGATTCATCATGATAATTTTCTCCCCAATATGGAATGTTAGGCATAAGAGAATTAATCCAATACCCATAGAAATCCAAGCGAGCATCTCCCATCGCGTCAGATAGCCTGTGTTTGTTCCAAGTAGAGCAAGACATAAGGTCAACATGAAAGTTTATAATGTTGTCAGACAAACAGGACAACAATGTTGGGCAGTGCTTATGAAGGTTACATCTCTTTTCGAAAAATGGTCAAGGGGCCAAAGTTAATTGCGTGGAATTTCATGCCCTCGAAGCTAACTTTTGCTAATCTATAAATGATGACAAAGGACATGTTCAGATGGGATGTTCTTAGTTAGCTCTATCTATAAAGTCTTAAACTCTTAATCACGTTTGGTTTCAAAACTTATGGTAAACATATTTGGAAATTGCGTGCGCTGATAACATTGTGATATATAATTGTTTCAGGAATTATTAAGAGACTTATGTCATTCTAAACATGGCAGGAAGAGAGATGAATGCACTGTACTAACCCAGCAGCTTGTACGAAGGCCATGATGGTCAGATACCAGAAATCTTTCTTTGTTAGATCGGAGACGAAGCCACCGAGGAGGACCACGGTTGCCCACAAAAGCATAAGGGCCCCGATGGCTTTCAGGCCAGTTCGGATGTACGCCATGATGACTGCATACTTGTTGATGATCCTTACTTCTGGCCGCTGTCGAAGCTCCTCCAGGAATTCGTCAAACTCATTTCTCAAGGCCCTTAGCTGCAGCTGTTGCTGCCGCTTCTTATTCAGGTGTGCAGATCCTCTGGCGACGTCCCGACAGTAAGAGATAAGACTATCCATCGGTGATACGGTAATGGTGGGTGGAATGGCTGGTGATCTCTGGTTTCTCTTCGGTTTTCAAGTCAACCGTCTACGGGGGTCACCTTAGATACTGTTTGGCTCGTCTCGGGGTCATGATAAACTAAGAGGGAACAAAACAAGGAGCTGGAAATGGTAATGAATGGCACGGGGAACGGCGAGCTCACATGTAAGCAAAGCAAAACTTATCCTAAAAATACGAGTCCGACCTCGACATATGACCGAAGCGCACTTATTTTATTTTTGGTTTTGGTCTGGGTGCAGTTGATCTTGACGCCGGGTCGCTGATAATAATCTTTGTTTTGTCAGGTAGTTAGCCACTTGCCTTCGGAGTTCGGACCCGCTGCAGTGTTGCTCGGCTTAGGCAACACTACGCGCTAGAAATAATTTGATACTTACACCGATTATTATTTGCTGTTGAGTTCTGTCAGGAAACAGACTCACCTAGTTGACCCTCTACCATGCGGAATCACATTTCAGCACGCTCTGTAGACCTAGCATGCGTGTGCTCCATTGATGAATAAAGATACACAATTTTACACATTCAATCTTACTGTACATGTTATGGAGTTGAAACTGCACAGTATACTCTATTTTTAAAAGCTAAAGTTTACCTGTCAGTAAAACGGCAAAGTGTTCTAGTAGTTAATTTGTTTTTAGGCGGATCAGTGGATGCTAAGGTGCAGTTTGAAGTTTGAACCAGGGTCGGGGCGATAGGAAGACAGCAGGGAGCGAGCTTATTACACGACCTTCTATTTTCCAGACGGTATCCCGCGAGCACCGTATTTATATTCAGTTAAGCGACATAACGGATAACCCCTTGGCATAAGTTCAGTTGGCCATTTGTTAATTCAGATTACATTTCGTTAGTGGTAGAGTCAAGGAACACGGTGCACTACGTAGCGTACTATGTTGTTGCATACAGATCGGCAGGCTGTCCTCTCTCTTGCTCTCTGCCTTGTGTCAGCGATCTAGCTCTGACGGGCACCGCCGATGTAAAATGTGGTCGGATTTGGAAGAGGGTCAACCCGCCGAGCATGCACCAACGCACTATGGAGCTATATCTAAGTCCAAACAAGCCACTGCATATACGTAATAGTTATGTGATACAATAAAGTACAACCTCGCTTCGTTCAGGAAAAGATACAACCACGCTAGCTGAGCTGACATAGCTGCACCTGACACAAAGCTGATCACGACCAGCGTTACAACAGACAAATAGTATAACGGAAGTAATCAAGCACAAACATTTATTGCATACACGCCGTGGGAATCAACCGGCCGAGAGGAATAAGCAGCAGCTAGTTGGTCACACATCACATGGACGAAGCCCTTGTGAGTTGTCCCTGTGACAATCTGACGCTGACGGTGCCATCCATCTAGAGGTGCCCACCAGCTCTGTCTCCAGTACTGCCTCGTCATTTCCTCCGGAGGTAGCCTGCACCTGCACCACACCATGTCAGCATTATGCACAATCAAAATTATATTAGTATACCCAGTTACCCACACAGTATAGGGGATATGGTAAGAGTAGTTACCTGTTGTGATGTAACTTGTGCTGCCGCAATTCGCTCGCGTGTGGCACGCCTTGAGAATTTGGCAAATGGAAGGGGCTTGACCGACGTCGCCATCTTGTGATGATTGTGAAGGAATTCAAAGGCGTAGATAGGCCGGTAAGGCTTTGGTTCTACTGACACTCTCATGCCCTGCGAGTCACTCTCATGACCTGGTGCAAAGAGTTCAATATACCTTTCCACACTCCCAAGTTCATGATGCATCATGACAAATCCAACCACAGTAAGAAGCTCCACTCCTCCGTTCCCGAGCTGCCGGGCCTGCAGCTCCATGGGGCACTTGCCGGCCGCATAGATGAGTAGCCTCGCCCACATCTCTTTCAAATCCTTCAATGATTCCACGGAAGGACATCCTTTGAATGGAGATCCCAAGTTCCCACTGGCCTAGATTTCTTCATTTGCATACTTCTCAAGAATCTCTGCCTTTGTCTTGTTGTTAGGATTGTCCCTGACCCATTCCAGGAAGTAGGTCTCACAATCTTGCACAGCACTGGTGACCGGCAACAGCGAAGGGTAAACAGCCATCAGGTAGATGAGGTAATTTGATAGCTTCCTGCATTCTGCCATAAGTTTTTTCATCTCCTCGCTGCCACCACCTTCCAACAAGTAGTCTGTGCTTAAGTACATTTCTGTGAATACATGTAGACTTAAAAGAGCATCCTCGAAGTGTAATCCTAGCAAATGTTTCAGTTCCTTCCCAAGATTTAGCCCCCGGGGTTGATCCCGATTTGGGTCAGTGTCAAACATTCCCACAATGTAGTCGACTATATCCTTGTCATCCACAAACTTGACGTGCCAAAAGTTTCTCCAGTGCTTCTTCAGATCCAGACCCAATGCTTCTGAGACCTTAAAGATGAACTTTGGCATGGATTTGTTGGACATGGAGTAGTCCGTAAGATTAAATTGTCCCATGGACGGACTTGGCAACCATTGACTAGGAAAACAGCAGACTAATTTGTGGGACAGCCAACAAGGAAATGTGCCCTGTTTGCAGCGCGCCCTTGTCCAAGGTGAGGCTATCACCATGAAGATAGAATAAATCTCTGCAAAGATGGCCTCAACAAATAACATGTAGGTGATGTCAGCATTTGTTGTTTTGTAGGCATGAGGATGTTGATTTGCCCAGAAAAGCACAAAAGCGACCGCCATGACTACCAGGGCGATGCACCGGAAGACACCGGCGGTCCAGCTTTGCAGCATCATGGCCTTGGTGTATAGTATATCGTATATCATCCCCAGCTCTATCAGTACGAACTGGAGCTTCTCTTTTGTTCGCTCAGTGTCGTAATCATTCATAAATTCAACATCAGACCAATCTTCCAAGATCAATTGCATCAGCTGCCGTCCAGCAAGTAATCCTCTGCTGGAAAGTGCCGAGCTAAGAGCACGAGATTCCAACAAAACACCACGTGGAGAAGGCGGCGGTGATAAGCTGTTCAAAACTGGAGTGGCGGAACTTGGATTTTCCACTCGAGCAGGGGGACTAAGATTTTTCTCCTTCAGGCGGCAAACGAGGCTGTCCCGGCTTCCCTTCTGGAGTGCCCATATCCTTTCCCCATACTTGATTGTCCCAACAACAAATAAGGGTACCGCCACTTTTAGCAACTGCGTGTCGAGCAAGTCAAACGACTTCCAGAACACGTAAAAGGCTAGACTGAGTTGGACCATGATGTTGATCAATTGCCTCATCCATAAATTGTTATCATCCACAGAGAATGCCGTGATGGTGTCAGGGCCTCCGAAGTGAAGGAGGAGAAAAGCTGGCCAGAGGAAGGGTACCGTCAGTGTGTGAAGATGCTCAAATGACTCGAGGCTTCTTAGTTTGTACTTGTCCTCGTACTGGGAGAAGAGGCCAATGGCAGAGGCGGCAAGAGTGTATGACCCCAAATAAGCCAACCACACCAAGAACTTCAGCAAACCACTGACTCTGAACCGCCGACGGAGGTTACCGGTGAATAGCAGGAAGATCTGCAGCGCGAGGCTGATGAGTACCATTATCTGAACGTCCCGCTCGTTCCATATTTTTGCCCACAAGCTTGGTGTTTTCGTTGATTCCGTGGTGTTGGTTCCTGTATAATTTAAAATTATAGTATGTGTCATGCATATCTAATAGAAATCACCGCAAAAAAAGAGAGTAATTCATAGCATGCATTCTCGAGAGAACTCTATATTACCACCATATGAATTAAATAGCACAATGTAACCAAAGTTTATTAACTGAAGATATTGCCGATCTGCAGATTCAGATTATAAGGACAACAGAAATTACAAAGTCAATCTTGTTGTTTTTTTACATGTTCTTATATTTCATGCCAGCTCTTTGTTTAAATACAACCT